AAATTTTATGTGTTCATACGAAAATGCATTTGATTTCAATCAAGAACTATATAGATTAAGACTGTACTTTTCATTTCATCAATCCTTTTTCTCTGCAATCTCTGCTCTAATATTTTCCACCTCCCTAGTAAATTTTTGGGTTTATTAGAACACTACCTCCAAGTGTACATTTGCACCAGTGTGCATAGGCAGACAGAACTTTATCACACCCCTGTACACCTCTGAGTCATTTGACACCATGTGTTCACATAAAATATATTAACTTTATTGTTTGATGAGCCCAGTGTCCCTTCAAATGCTGGAGTCTGCCTACAGTACTTAAAGATCTCAAAGTGTGAATCTAGGGTCCTGCATCAAAATTGCGTAGGCTCCCTGTCCAGAAAAGTGTGCATCCGGAAAGGATTTGGATGCACAGTGTATCAAAGCCATTTATGCAGACTGCCTAAATTTGAAACATTACATTAACAACAAAAGTTATTTGGAACTTTTATAAAAGCATCACTCTTTTCCCTTGAAACTTTAAGGGGAAAAAAGCCGTGAAATTACTGTAGCTGTAAAATTACTATTACTATTTTTCTTTTGCGTCAATATAGAGTGCATTATGTGAGGTCTTTCTAACTCTACTTCTAAAGATAAAGATAATTATGACATTAGAGATCTAAGATTCTGTAAAAATTCTCCCAGGTTAAAACTTTCTTTCGTCAGTATTCTGAATATTTTAAATGCATTTTTTGTTATTGTCTATAATAATATTAGGGAGTTTGTTTCAGACTTACAGATTCCAGTCTGCGGTTAGACGATTATTCATCCAAGTTGAGCACCAAAACAAAGAGAGCCAAGCACAGCCTTCTGTCTGGAGAAGAGAAAGAAAATCTACCAAGTGACTACATGGTGCCTGTTTTCTCGGGACGGTTAGTGTACTTTTTCTTTCTGGCTTTATTACAAAGCGGGGAGTAAATGTTGTTAGATAATAATAATATTAGCTAACATTTATTGAACACTTACCATGTACTGGTTGAGAAAGATCTGAGGAAGTTTGGAGCCCTGTGCTAAGAGAGATTAATTTTGTAAAAAGGGATTTCCCTTTTAGAAATCTTTGCCATCACATAGGATGGCTACATGATGAAAGAGAAAGATTAGAATTTAATGCTACTTAAGTGGCAAGTAGAGCCTTGGATGCTAGTGATTGAACACTAAAAAGAAAAGCTCAAAACGAAAATATTGTGTGAACTGAAAAAAAAAAAACAAAACCCAGATGATTTGTTTACGTAGCTGGAAAACATCTTGGTTGTCAGTGTGGTTTTAATTGTTATTCATTAGGGGAAAAATCTAATCATAATTTGAATGCCTAGCTTATATTTTTTTCAATGGAAAATAGATTGCATTTGCTTTGAGACAAACTTCAAACAAAATAATCATTAAGTCACAAGTCTATGTAATGCCAATTTCCTATCTTTAAACATTTTTTGAGCGATAATAGTGTTCAAAGGAATCTTGAAAGGAAATTTGTCCGAGACACCAAGATTAAAGTTTAACAGGAACTTTCTGGATCATCCCTGTTTATTTTCCTTTGAATGGAAAGTTATTCTCATAGCTAAGGTGGCACTCAAAATGAGGCCATCCACTCAGGGCAAATGTCATGGAAAAGTAGATCCTTATTGAAAGTCACGAAGTAATTTGGTCATGATTTTTTGGTGACCTACATCTGTCCCCTGTGTCTTTCTTTCCATTGCCCTCTGACAGTTGCTTTCTGACTTGTTTCAGAGGTTAATGTCATAAGTTCTCTGAACCCAATGAGGAAGGTAAGGGGATAAACAACATTCTATTTTTAGCTTTTTATCTGATATCTTTGATATCCGTGATTTTTTAAAGTGAACTTTCCAGAGAAACATCCTTATATTGTTAAGTATGCTTGCCCATATTTGGCCTCTTTTAATTCCCACTTGTATTCGTTGTAGGAGAAGGCTAGGCTAGAGGACTATTTTACGTCCAGCTTTTTTGCCACTCTGTTTCAAAAAATCATTTAAAAACCATGTCAGCTTAGCATTAGCCTATATGACATGCCTCTCCACCTGGATGGGCATGAAATGAAGCTTCTCACTCCTTATGTCTTCTCCTTGCTCTGTCCCCACCAAACAGTTTTGTCTCTTCCAGGTCAGTCTCAAGAAATGATCATGTATAAAATAAACTGTGATAAAAGAAAATGATAATAAAAACTGATTTCTATGTTCTGTTTATAGTTCTTCTATATATTTTATATGGATCCTCTCCTATATTCTATATCTGTGTTGAAAATAACATTTCACAGTGGTGTTGACAGTATTAACAATCCAAGAAGAGGATGGGAAAGAAATTAACATTTGTTGCGTACCTATAGTTTGCTGGGAATCGTACTAGGTGCTTTATATAAACTGTCTTGCTAAATCCTCCATACAGCCCTGGAAAGAAATCAGTGTATCAGTTGTTTGGATAAGAAAATCAGGGCTCAGTGCCTTGCTGAAGGTCACGTGGCTGGCAGTGAAAGAGCTAGCCTAGCCAATGCAATGTACATGCCCTCTGCAAGTAGCGTGTGTTTCTGAAAAGTGCCATTTCCTCCACATGACACCTGAGAATTCCACCTCTTATACTCCAATAGTTAACTTTGTGTCAGCAGTACATTTTGAGTTGAAACTATGAGAGATATGCAGAGTATTGGGAGGTTTTAATTTATTTTTAATAGTATAGTGGTGTATTTTGTCAACATGTTAGCATCACACTCTTGATCTTATACCCAGATTGTAGAAGGGTTACCACTGACAACCCCTTATATTTACTTAAAGGAGAATATCCCTGCTGTCCTGGGTCCAGCATATTTTTTTAAGTATACTTGAATTCTCATGTGAAATAATTATAGTTTTTTTGAAGTTTAGTTTATTCGTAAATGGAAAAGGCAAGGCGGTTGTAACTTCATTCTGCCCTTTAGAGCTGTGTCAACATGTCCGGTATTAGAGGTAATGAGAGGCTTACGCTTAAAGTTCTCTCACTTAGAGCTTGGGGCAAGAGTGACATTGAATGTGATCCATTATTCTATGTATTGAAACATATTACAAAGCTCATTTCAAATCTCTCTATCATATATTGACATCTACAGAGAAGTCCAAGTGAATTCTCCTGATGGTTTGTTTTATATTCACTTATTAATTCATTCACTTCATACCTTATTCCAAAAAATGTTAGACGTAGTTATGTCATGACACTAAGATACAAATCTTTCATCTTCCTCCCACCAAATGATAGGGGGTTAATATGTCCACTCACTTCCACAGTTAGGACTAACATTAATATTTACAGAGATAGAGAAAAAATTTAAAATTTACTAAGTTTGGTCAGAAATAAAGTGGACTTATCTTGTCTGCCAGATGTTTTCATAGCATTCCATGAGAAATTCCAAATTTAGACAAATATTGAGTCCTGTTCCTCAGCAAACTGCGTAGATTCAAGTGCTTGGAACTTGCAAACACAATGGTAGTACTTGCTTAATTTTTTAAGTAATCATTCTTATAAGAAAAGCAAATGTACAATTCTGACTTAAGAGGTCTAAGGAGACTCAATTTCAAGAGAATCTTCAATGTAATCAATATACTCTTTTACTAAAACATCCAATGGGGTTTACAATAAAGGCATTGAAGGAGGTTAAAAATAATTCAAATATGTTTAACAACATTAATAAATCACAGCACAAATTCTGTCATAAACTACCACACTAGACACAGCACTTTTGGATGTTGTCACTGACCTGCCATCATCATCCATTGTGAGTAATAAATAAGTCACATCTATAAATATCACTACTTTGATTACAAGTTTGATAATTTCTTTTCATCAGGGCTGAGTATCCAATATGACAGTCTTCATATTGGATACTCACACACATAGTATATATGTATATATATACACACACGACCTTTATTATCTTAGAAAGAAACCTAGTGGGCATAAGGATCTCATGTAAATTTAGAACTTTTTATATATGCAACAGCTCTGGACAATGCATTACGTCAGCTAAGCTACAGAATCCAGATCAAACTCATAGTCATATATCAGGATCACAAGCACACAAACTATATCTCATTTTACAATATGTCTTCTCTGGAAAGGAAGGCATAACTTAATATTTTATTGTAAATGAAATCATATTTAAACACACTAAGACAATCAGTGAAATGACCTTGGGAAAGTTATCTAACTTTTCTGAACCTTGTTACCATATATCTAAAACAGAAATGATAGTTTACCTCATTGGGTTTTTGTGGGGCTGAAATGAGATAATGTATGTGAAAAGCACCTGGGCCATATAGATATTATTATTGCTGTTATCATTGTCATCACTATTTGTTAAGGGGACAACCACTTCTGTATGTGAAGAGTCAGCTTCTGATTTACCAGGTTTTTCTGTGTCAGGTTTTCTTTGGGTACAGGACACAGTGTGTGAAGGCTGATCCTTGAAGTTAGTAAAATTAGGCAATCTTATCACTGCCATCCACAATATACACTTTTTATTATTATTGTGTTTTAGTCAAGTGCATGTCAGTGGAGTTACAGATACGGAAGAAGAAAGAATTAAAGAAGCTGCCGCTTACATAGCCCAAAGGAACCTTCTTGCTAGTGAGGAAGGAATCATAACATCTAAACGGTCCACAGCATCCAAACAGTCCACAGTATCCAAACAGTCCCGAGCATCCAAACAGTCTGTGGAATCCAAACAGGCTACGTCCACTCTCCAACAGGAGGAAACTTTTGAAAAGAAGTCAAGGAAAGTTGCAATTCGAGAAAAGGCAGAACGCCTGTCACTGAGAAAAACAGTAAGAAAAGACAATTTAATGCAACTTACAAAAGTGGAAATGCATGTAACAAGTTGTGTGTGCGTGTGTGCGTGTGTGTATATAGATATGGATTTATTTGTTTCAAATGAAGAAATTATGGAGAAACAAAACTAAAGAAAACAAGGAGAAAGACATTAAAATGTGTAAGTCCAAAGAAAGGTAAACCTAATAATTTTAAACTTCATGGAATTTTAGGTTCTAAAGAAATTAAGATTTTAAAGAACCTTAAGAAATCCACCTTAGGAAGTAAACTATGTTGCTCGAGCTTAAAATATTAATTGATAAATAACTACATCAATTTTTAAAAGGAGTAAAGGGAATGAATTTTGTCTAAACACAAAAGTAAGGTTCCAAATGGAAAAATACAAATTTTGGTTTCCATTTGTTATTTTAGCACCAGAGATCACTTTGATTTATTAGTATTTTGATATGTTTGTTTGTTTGTTTTTTCAGTTAGAAGAAACCGAGGCATATCATGCCAAGTTGAATGAAGACCATCTTCTGCATGCTCCTGAGTTTATCATTAAACCTCGTTCCCACACAGTTTGGGAGAAAGAGAATGTAAAATTACACTGCTCCGTAGCAGGCTGGCCAGAACCTCGTGTCACTTGGTACGTTATCTTTATGAAAGCTAACAAAATTCATTGCACAAAGTTAAGTTTCCCTAGATCTATCAATATGCAAGAGTCAATGAAGGCATCTAGAAGTTTGTATAGGTTTTCAAAAGAGGGAAGAAAGGATATTGGGATGAATTTTTGTGTATGAGAAGAAAAAACAGTCTCGCATATACGTGATTCATTATAGTACCTTATAAGCCTATTATACAAATGGGTCTTTATATAAAGTATTAGATTTTAGTCAACATATTTACATACCAAAAATATGTCTATAACTCCTATGGTCTATAAAAATTAAATAAAAAATTACTTCTATAAATGAACTTCACAAAATAATATGATTTTGTGATCAAAAACAATGCCATCTTTTACAAAATAGTTAAGACTCACAGGGCTCCCATCTCTCCCCCTCATGTGAGCTGAGGCCTCAATGTGCTTTCTGACACCAAACAAAAGAGAGAACTGGGTGGGAGAAAATATGGGGCCTTAAGACATTTTCTTTTAACAAAGAATAGGCACTCTTTTTCTTCTTTCAGTGTATATCCTATTGCGATTGTCAATACCTTTGTGATCCCTAAACTGAGAACTTTTTGTCATATGCCATGAATATCTGCCATAGAGAGCAGATACATGAAAATAATCTAGCTACTTAAAAAAGATGTTCCCTTTTTATTCTCTGACACAGGTATTTTGCATGCTGCTTTTTTATCCTCAGAGGTGGTGGTAAATGCCCGTTAGGTTGTAATGTCAACACTACACAATTGTGACCATCACCCAGAGTGTCTGCCTACTTCTTTCTTTTCCATTATTTCTAATGTTGATGCCTAACTTGCACTAATGGAAGAAGCGGACAAGATAAACCCATTTAACTGTCTATGGTTATTCTTAAGAAGCGGGTGGTGAGTTTTTTAAAAAATTCGCCTGTGATATTAGTCTGCCTTTGATAATTTTGGACTTACAATTTTTCTATGTATATAAATTCTTTTTGGAGCTCTTGAGTTTGAAAACTAAAGAATAAAAATCAGAGCTGGCTATGAATTATCAGGGCAAATAATTTATAGTAACAAAGATGAGAAATGCAGGAACATATTTCAAATATTTTAAAGAGATTTATTCTGAGCCAAATATGAGTGACTACAGCCTGGGGAAAACACAAATTCAAGAGGCGTTGAGTAAGAGGTCCCAAGGTGGATTACATTTTGGTTTTATACATTTCAAGGAGACAAGAATTGCAGGCAAAGACATAAATCAATACATGGAACGTATACATTGGTTTGGCCAGAAAAGCTGGGACATCTTGAAGCGGGGTCTCGCAAGTCATAGGTGGATTTCGAGATTCTTTAATTTGCAATTGGATAAAAGAATAAAGCTTTCTCTAAAAACTTTCAGTTAGCAGAAAGGAATGTTCAGGTTAAGGGGGTCTGTTATCTGTCATGTGATACCATGGCAGAGTTACGTTTGTGTCTAAACTTCAAAAGGATAGGGATATGGGAGGTGTGTCCAACCTCCTTTCTCATTGTGGCTGGGAACTCAGTTTTAAGGTTTTTCTGGGGTCCTTTTGCCCAAGAGGGGGTCCGTTCAGTTGGCAAGGGACTTAGGGTTTTTAGTTTACAAATCAATCTGCCTTTGCCTACCTTTCTGTGACTATAGAGTTGCACAATTTGTCCTATTAAAGGGACGTTTCCTCTTAAAAAACTGATTACTTCTCACCTCAAAAAAAATTTCAAACTTTCCTATAGAAATCTGTAAAGAATAACAAATTTACAGCTCTAAGAAATATTATTTAGTCAGTAAAAAGTTCTCTTATGAATTAAAATAATCAATAATAAATTAGTAACTGGAGACCTTAGTTAAGTAGATATATTTATTACACAGTTTCCTATCTCTGTTTTCCCACTTTTTAAAAATTAAAGATGATTTTCAAAAGGATACAAAATAATTTCTTGGAGATTTATATTAATTTCCTAAGCATTTATTTATTCTGTTAAGCACACAACAACTGGAATAAAAACCCAACCACAAACCATTGATGGTATTATTAAGCAAGAATGATGTGATTTCACAAAAGCAGAGCTTAATCTCAGAGATTAAACTCCTTACATTGTGCTTTGTTGGCCCGTAAAAGAAGTAATTTAAAAACAAACAAAAAAGATAAAAACTCTCCAGAAAAATATGCGATGACGAAACTGAAAACCCTTCAAATTCCAGTTAAATTCAAAAATAGAAATACTGTTCGTTTTCAGTTATCTTCACTAACAGAGCCGAGATGTAGTACATTTGACCCCCAAATTCTTCACAGATGGCTTTGAAATATTTATTTCATTTACATGTGAATTTTATGTCCTAGGGGTTCATTTCAAACAAAAGTGAAGACACAGAGACAGCTTCGAGACAGGAAGCACTGGAAGAGCCTCCTCTGGTTCCTGCACTCCCTTTAGTGTGAGGAGAGGGCAACTCACTCTAGTGTGATGCAAAGCCCCAGTCGTAGTGACTTCATTCCTTACCACAAATTCTCCAGGAGGGACAGGCCAGAGCATTTTGCAGAAAGTCTTGTTGCCTTGCAAGCTAAGCGAAAAATAAACATTAAAACAAAACAAAGAATCAGGGGACAACTAAGAAAATAGCTAACTGTACTTCTGAAAGCAAGATTTGTCTTGCTTTTTGTTGTTGTTGTTGTTGTGAGACAGTTGCCTTTTTTGTTGTTGTTGTTGAGACAGAGCCTCACTGTGTGTCCCTGGGTAGAGTGTAGTGATGTCGTTGCAGCTCACTGCAAGCTCCAACTCCAGGGCTGTAGGGGATCCTTTTGCCTCAGCCTCCCTGGTAGCTGGGATTACAGGCGTGCAACCACAACACCCAGCTCCCAGCTGGATTTTGTTTTTTTCTTTTTTTTTCTCTCTCTTTTTCTTTTTGGTAGAGACGGGGTCTCACTGTTGCTGAGGCTGGTATCGAACTCCTGAGCTTAAGCTATCCTCCTGCCTCGGCTTCCCAGAGAGCTAGGATTACAGGCGTGAGCCACCCCACCCTGGGTAAAGCTGAAATCTGCCCCAGCTAGCAGATAACTGACAATGAGCTATGGCAATAAACAGAGTCAGCTCCAGGTTTTGTGGGGCATGAAGCTTATACAATTTGGGGAGGGGCACTCTTTACAAGAAAGAATATAAAGTTAGTAGTACACATTAGGCATAGGGCCTTGCAGGGACTCAGGTTTGTGAGGGACCCTGAAACTTAAGCTTCATTCCTTTCATTCCCTGGGCGTTGACTTCTCGGTGGGATTAGTATCCCACCTTTTTAAAAACTCATTAACTGGAGCTCCAATTTACTTTCAACGCTAGTACAGAGTATACAATCTTCAGTAAACACCCTTCCCCTCAAACAGCAGGGATCCCACAACCCAAGCAAGAACCAAGGTTGTTGGGCGGTTAGTTTGCTGGCATTTATGCCTTTTTGGTACCTAACTGCATCTTCCTGGGCCTGACACTGAGCACAAGCATGAAAGAAATACTGGGAATGCCCTCCTGAAGAGAAGGAGGTAAATTAAAGAAATAAGGTTGTGACGATGCTTCATACAATGATGCTGCCTTCACTTGTAGCAGTTAAGTCCTCACCATGTCTTTCAAAGGGCTGTGTACCCAGGCCCTGGCTCCGTCAGAGCCCTTTCCAAAGAGAGTTTGGCTCCAAGTTTCCACTTAGCACCTTTAGGTCATGGGAGTCCCTGAAGCCAACAAATTATACAAACACACAACAGCTGCTCTCTGGCCAACTCCAAATTACCGACCAAATCTATTTAAGTGGAACTTAGAGGTTACCCAGAGAGCACTGAATGACAGGAGCACATGTCACTCATCAAGGGTGGATAGAGATGGCTATAGAGCACCATCTTGTTTCCAGTGCACTCTGAGGCCAGAAGGAAGCCTGTCTATGCTTTGGGCTCAGTGGGAAAGTTAGTAACGGGGAGGCTGCAGCAGCACCACAGTGATGCTGGCCGTCCTGGAGGAAGGCTTTGTCAACATAGAAGGAAAAATATATATGTAGTGAAAAAACCAAAGTTTTAAAATATACTAGGCTTTTTTAATGTAATAACTTGTATAATAGTCTATTCGTTTCAAAGCGGATTAAAAGAGAATTTATGATTGTATTAGTTTTATTTGGATAATGAAATTCTGGAAGGGTCCGTAAGAACCTAAGAAGAGCAATTGACTCTGAGGAAGGGGACAAGTAGCAGGAAGGTGCCAGGACTCACGAAGCACCCTTTATACCTTTGGTTCTTGGACCATATAAGTGTATTGCCTAGTCAAATTTTTTAAATTATATGAAATAGGTGAGAAGAAAAAGGTGTTCTTTAAAAGGAGAGAATTATGTTAATTGCATACTTTTAAAAAGAGCCAGATTCAATTGGATTTCTTGCCAGAAGCCCAAGTCAAATTTGCCAATGGAAATCTTGATTGGAACGTGCAAGGAAATGCAGGAACACTCACCGCAGCAGTGTGTTAGTATTAGCGAGTAGCAGCCATTCACTCACTCACTCACTCAACACCCATGTTTTCAGATCTGTATGTTGGATATTGGCCTAGATCCTCAAGTAAGACATTTAAAATACGTGCGTAGCCTGGGCAAGGTGGCTCACGCCTGTAATTCTAGCACTCTGGGAGGCTGAGGCAGGAGGATCACTTGAAGTCAGGAGCTCAAGACCAGCCTGGGCAAAAGCGAGACCCCCGTCTGTACTAAAAATAGAAAAATTAGCCAGGTGCGGTGGTACGGGCTTGTAGACCCAGCTATTCGGGAGGCTGAGGCAGGAGGAGAATGGCCTGAGCCCAGGAGTTTGAGGCTGCAGTGAGCTATGATGACGACTGCAGTCTACCCAGGGCAACAGAGTGAGACTCTGTCCCCCCCCGCAAAAGAAAAGTGTGTAAAATTCTTCAGTTTGGCCCTAAAGTCATTGTCAAAGAGATACTTAAAGAAATTTGTTGATAAGCATAATAATTCAAAACCTGGGAATAAAAAATGTATCTTAGGAAGAGTCTGGAGATTTAGAAAACTCTTTTTCTGTTTTTGTAAATTATGAGAATTTGTAAATTCCACAATAGAATCAGAAGCATCGAGTTTATTTACAAGATTAGAGTCATTCATCACATATTTAAACTTAGCAATTACTATCATATTATCATCAGAAAAACGGCTTACATTGAAAATGGTTAACAAAAATTATTTACAATTTATAATTGTTTCCCAGCATAAGGATTTGGAGTTTTATTTTAGATTTTTCTTATTTACTTAATTTCAAAATTGATCCTAATGAGATAGATCTCTCTCAGATAATTGGTTTTTAAAGTGGGTATATAACTATTTATTCAAAACAGAAGGTTGAGTTCTGAGCAGCAATGCCATTTGTGGTGAGAGTGAACATATTAAAGATCACTTTGGTACGTATAATTTGTTGATAGAAAAAAATTACCACGAAGCCTTTTTGCTTGATTATACTTTACACTGCCGAAGAGCTTTTACTGTAACCTCATAGTACCAAAGTCAGCACAACATCTCAACTGCAATGTGTCTGGAGGGATTAAGTGTTACGTGTTTTACACATATAAGTGAAAGTCACTGGATACCAGAGTGTTATTCTGGAAATACTTACAGCATACTGAAAGCTAACTAATAGCTCATAGACTCTACATGAAAATGATAAGGGAAATGGTGCATGCCTGAATATTCACAAGGATTTAAGAAAGCTTTTGACACATAATCCCAGGGTGTAGATTAATCTCCAAAATTAGCCAATGACTGGCCAGTTTGGAATTTCACTTTCCAGAAATAAGAAGCTGTGAAATATATACAGAGCAGGCCAAAAATCCTTCTTCCCTGACTTAATGCTAAAGACACCCAATCTCAAGTGACCCCAAACTTGAATGCCTCGCTGGGTAAAATTCCTCAGAGAATAGAATTAAATCACTTCCTGACTTAGTCCTTGCCCACCGCTTTAAAACAGGAGTTTCTCACACTGGCACCTGGTTTCCAGAGGAAAGATGAGAAGGTCCGAAAGTGGTGTGTGTGTGTCTTTTGAACCAAGTTCCTTTGCCAGCTGCTCATAATAGAAACGTCATTAGCTGGGCAAAGGCATTAAGGTGCTAAGTTGGGAAGTATTGGAAGGCAAGGAGGCCGAAGCAACCACCGGAGCCACAAAATACTTTAACAAAAACTTTATGGAGATACGAGGAACATTTTGATCAGAAGCCAAAACGAGTGTCACTCAGTCGTTTGGTCACACAGCACAGGCCGCAGCCTTTAGCATCATATTGCTCCTCTTATGAGAAGAGGAACTACTGAAAACCCTCCAGCACATGAAAAAACTAAGCACAAAGGAGCTTCTGAGTCAAGTGTGAAATTACCGAAACCAATTAAATCAGAAGAACATGGCAATGAACATGTTCTACTCTGTCATTCACCAAAACGGGGAGTGCTGGAGATTAGGAGTGGCCAGTTGATGTCTTTTTTTTTTTTTTTGAGACAGAGTCTCACTGTGTTGCCCAGGCTAGAGTGCCATGGCGTCAGCCTAGCTCACAGCAACCTCAAATTCCTGGGCTCAAGCGATCCTCCTGCCTCAGCCTCCCAAGTAGCTGGGACTACAGGCATGCGCCACCATACCCGGCTAATTTTTTCTATATATTTATAGTTGTCCGATTAATTTCTTTCTATTTTTAGTAGAGACGGGGTCTCGCTCTTGCTCAGGCTGGTTTCGAACTCCTGAGCTCAAACAATCCGCCCGCCTCGGCCTCCCAGAGTGCTAGGATTACAGGCGTGAGCCACCGCGCCTGGCCCAGTCGATGTCTTTTTACAGACCAACTCTGATCAGATCGTCCTGCCTACCTCCATCCCTGTGCTCGGACAGCTGTCTGTGGCCATTTCTGGGCTGGCAGGAAACAGCATCAGTGGCCATCTCTCCTGTGGGTGGGGAAGGAGTTTATATCACACACCTGCCACGCAGCTGCGATTCTGGAGCTAGTCCAACTCTCCTCATTTCACATCTGAGGGAACCGAGACCAAAGAGCTTCAATTAACTTTCTTCATGTGCACTTATTTAAAATCATCCACATCATGAAGTAGATGTTTGTCAGAACTCCATTCCTTCTGCTGAAAAAGTATGAAGCCGCAATTAATCTATTGTGTGACATGAGCATTCTGTTCAATCTGATTTAACCAACACTGAGGGCCTGACGCTTACCCATGACTATCCTCCCTCAGGAGTGGGAATATTTAATAGAAATCAATGTAGAGCAGACACAGTCCCCATCTTTGAGGGACCAGTAACTTAGTAGGAGAGACACGTATCCAACCATAATTTTGATAAATGTTATATTTAGCAATTTGAACCCAATAACCCTGATGTGGAAAGGTAGGAACGATTCATATTGTGTGGTATTTTAGGGACAAATTTACTGAAGAAGTAGCAATTGATCTGAATCCTGAAGGATGAGTTGGGGCTTTATTAAAAGGAGGAGAGTGATACATTTTTAAAAAATGCTGTAGAAAACGAATAATATACTTTAGGGACATGAGGGCTGTATGTGACAGAGAGAGAGTTGAAGAAAGGAAGATGACTGAAGCTGATTTTCTTTCTTTCCTCTCCCTTTCCACCACTTTCCCTGCTCACAAACCTCCTGATAGTAATTTCACAAAGTCTGAAGAAATGAAATGCAGCTACATGGAGAACAACTAGAAAATGGAAGCATCACATAGTCCAGGAGCCAGGCTGCCTGGGATCAAATCCCACTCTGCCACTCCTGCCTGTGTGACCTGGGCAAGTTCCTTAACCTCTCCATGCATTAGTTTCTTCATCTGGAAAAGGAAGTTAAAAAGAGCACTACATCATATGGTTATCCTGTGGATTGAATTTGCCAGTGTGTACCAAAATCGCTCAGAGCATTGCCTAGCGCATAGGCAATCAGTTGTGGCTATTAGTGTTATTCACATTATCTGTGCACACAAAGTGGCAAGTCTGAAAGAGAAACAAGTGAAACCCAGTTCCTCTTTTGGGCAGAAAACAGTTTAAATAGGAAAGCCTGGTCCGGCACCATAGCCACTGACTACTGAGAGCATGAGGACATGGAGAAGAATCAGGTGCTGCGTACAGACCCGGAGGACAGCGTCTCAGGGAGAGGCCTCTTCAAGGAGCCCACCCTCCGAGCGCTGAGAGGGTAACCAAGATGGAATGGTCAGAAAAAGGGAGGCTTGTAGCTTTTATTTGTCAGAAGTTTCCTTTCATGACTTATAAGTTCTTCCAAGGAATGAGCCATGTTTGCTTGTGACATAAAATACACTTAAATATAATGATCTTTCAATACAATGACACTGTTTTTAACACCATGCAAAAATGTTAGCAAGAAGAATGTTTTGCTTTCATCCTACACAGACGGCCAACAATAAAACCCCCAACACAAAGCCTCCCTATTATGTCAACAATGCTCAACTTTGTTTTAAGCTTCTTAATTGTAGTATAATATACACACACAAAAGTGCATATTATAATATATAAATGTATAGCTTTGGTGAATTTTTGTAGATTGCACACACCGATGTAACTAGCACACAAATGGAGAAACCAAACATTCTCAGCACCCAAGAAGCCTCCTTCACATCCTCCCACTCCACCCTGGGAAATCAGTATCCAGACTTTTAGCAGCATTAATTAGTCTTTTTGGTTTTGTGTTTTATATAAAAGCAATCACTGTCCTATGCACTCTTTTGTAACTGGCTTTTTTCACTAACATAAAAAAAAGAAAACCAACCAAAATGGTGGGAAAGAACAATCAAAATCAAAATCAAAATCCCCCCGGAAAGTTAAAAAAGAACGCAAAACAACTCAACCAAAAAGATTAATTTAATGGTAAGGGAATTTAATTAAAGTAAAGCAAACTAAAATTTATTGAATAGATGCTGCTGCTACACTCAGTGCTGTGTTTACGGAAGATGCTCCCTCCAAGAACAAGAATTGTATGTGTGTGTGTTTAATCATGATGTTATTTACACTTCAATTTACTTCATTTTGTTTCCATTATCTTGCAGGTATAAAAACCAGGTGCCAATCAATGTCCATGCAAACCCTGGAAAGTATATTATTGAAAGTCGATATGGAATGCACACTCTGGAGATTAATGCGTAAGACAACATTGGTGTCCGTGTGTGTCACTCAGGCGGGCGCCTCACTGCTTCATCCCAGGGCAGCGTGACCACACTGAGGGACATTCACATACGTTTCTTCTCTCGGCGCACACCTAAAAGTGATATACATGACTGATCTTATACTACCTCCCAAAGGGATTTTGTATTTGAATTTCATCAAAGATGATAAATATAATTTGTATCTTTTTATTTAACCTTTTATATACTTGAGAGTTTTTCTTACATACCAGTAAGAAAATAAGTTGTATGAATAGGTATTTATATTCAGTAATCATTTCGGAGTTCCAAATCAATATCACCATCATACTCTTTTGTTTTTGACAAATAAAGGCCATGGAGGTTGGGGTGGGTGCCATTGAAAGTGGGCTGAATTTGGAAATATCCTTTTCTGCAGCTCACCAGGAACTATGGGAAGGTATTATATATACACTGTCAACTGTGTATGTGAGGCAGGGCTGGATATTGGGATGTTTTAGGGTGAAGTAAAATCCAAAGCCAAATTTGAAAACAAAACCTGCATCAAGGAGGGAGGAGGGGAAGAGGGCATGGGCAAAAACCTACCTAATGGGTACAATGAACACTAACTATCTGGGTGACAGGCATACTTTTAAACCTGACTTGAGCATTATAAAAGCGATCCATGGGCCGGGCGTGGTGGCTCACGCCTGTAATCCTAGCACTCTGGGAGGCCGAGGCAGGTGGATTGTTCTGAGCTCAGGAGTTCGAGACCAGCCTGAGGAAGAGCGAGACCCCGTCTCTACCAAAAATAGAAAGAAATTAATTGGACAGCTAAAAATATATATA